GTGGGATGTCCTCCCAGTGGCGCAGCACAGTCAGGGCCAGGTGTTCATCTGTCTGCCTCTTCTGACCTGCGTGGGCAAAGGGAGGGCTGAGCTTGGAGAACTGGGCAGAGACACACCAGGGACAGCAAACAACCCCGTTCCTCTACCCCTACTCCAAGGGCACAGAACTGCCTACTAGCTACTCGTCTCCATTTCCTGGTGCACAATTTGTCCTTCAGCCAACACTTCCTAACTCGCTCTCCTTCTCCTCCCTCTAACCCTAGTATTTACAGAAGGTCCAGATCCCCTGCCAGTCTGTGTTTTCCCAGGCTGAACAAGCTCTGTATCCATTGACCATGTCCTCCTCCTCTTCTGCACCCCTCCTGGCCTGCCTTTGTCTTTCTTGGGCACACGTGAGTGCGTTGGGACGCAGCCGTTGTTTGGGGATGCAGTTACATGGAGAAAGGCTTCCTAAACCCTGGAAAGGCCAAGGTGGGGTGTCTTCATTGCTCTTTGGGCATACAGTGCCAGGAGGAAGTTTTCAAAGGCAGCTTTGGCGATGCTATGCCACGGACGCCCATGAGTGATTCTGAGAGCAACCCACTGGCCTGGGTGGTCTATAAGACTCTGTCTAACTGGTCACATACTGGAAGGTCCATTTAAGGTGGTGGGTGGAGAGTGATTGCAGCGCTGCTTTGCGGTGATGGGGCCACTACATCTGTCCCCAATCCTGGATGATGAAGGGACACCCCAGACCCCTGCTCCCCTCCGCAACCTTCATCCCATGGGGCAGGTACCATTTTCGTCCTCAATCTCCGTGGGGCCGGTGAAGACCCTGTTGGCAACTTTCACTCTTCCTCCTGGCCCAAAGTGCGGCCCATCCACCTTGCCCTCTTTGCACAGCTTGGACAGGATTTGGGAGGGCTTCATGGGGTCACGCCAGGTGTTATAACCATGTCTGTGAATAGGAGGGCAAGGTCAGTGAAGTAGTAGCAAGATTTGGAGGAAAAAGCGATTTTGTCCCCCTCTGCCAGCAAAACAAATGCTACTGCCACGAAGGACCCAGGATTCAAAGGGAGAGGATCTGAGGCAGCAAACATGAAACTTCAGAGCAGACTAGGTCCCTCTGTGACCCCCCTCTACACTTTGCTAACACCCTTCCACCCCAGCCCCTTTACTCTGTGCTGACTCAGACCTGAAATCCCCAGCGCACCCCACTTGACTCCCGATGCTCAGCATTGCTCCTTTGGCCCTGCTGCTATTTCAGCTCCAGCCTCACCCCTCTACCCAGTCCCACCAGTCCCTTCCTCCCTGCCCTGGGCTCCTTACAACCCGCTCCACTGCTGCCCTGCTGTGCTGGTCACAAAACCTGTCTTAAGAGTGAGGGTACAGCACAGACTCCTCCATTAGCAGGCAATAAAGGAGGGAGATTCCTGCAGGAGATCTAGGCTTGGTGTGGAAGATGAGACAGGCATGGGTCCAGGCAGAAGGTTGGGCAGGGAAAGCTTTGCTCGTACATGGAGTAAGTCTGTGACACCCCACATGTAGCTCGGTGCTTGCTGTAGTAGCGGTTCTCCAGATCAATCTTGGTCTCTCCAATGAGGTCGTCAGTCCCCACCAAGTCCCAGTCGTACACCGCCACTGTCAGCATGGACTCCATGGGGAAGGTGGCCTCGATGTCAAAGGATCTAGGCCAGGGGAAAGAGAAAAGCTGTTGAAGGGTTTGGCTGCTACTGAGGACAGACGCGTGGGTGAGGTGGGTCTGCTCCAGTCTGTGGACAGTGTTTAATTTGCATAGAATCATAGAATCATTAAGGTTGGAAGAGACCTCTAAGATCATCGAGTCCAACCGTCAACCCAACACCACCATGCCCACTAAACCATGTCCCTCAGCGCCTCATCTACCCGTCTTTTAAATACTTCCAGGGATGGTGACTCCACCACTCCCCTGGGCAGCCTGGTCCAAGGTTTAACCACTCTTTCAGTAAAGACATTTTTCCTCACGTCCAACCTAAACCTCCCCTGGCGCAACTTGAGGCCATTTCCACTGCAGGACATTCAAGGTAGGGGTTTTAAGTAAACCTCTGCGTGGCCTGTTTCAGATCCAGCAGCCCTAGACAGGAGGCGGCACAGGGTGATTGCTTGACCTGAGTATCAACAGCCCTGAAACTAAGTTTGTGTGTCGCTGGAGAGCCAGGCCATACTCTCACTGGAGTTCAGGCCTAATGATTCCTAAAGTAGGTACTTTATCTTGATCAGAGGTGGACGTCTCTTAAACGCCCTTTACTATATTGACCATATCACTGGCAAAGAAGGACAGATGGCTGAAATGACGATGCCTACACTGCTTGCAAGGAAAGTTCTGTGCGATGAGTCCTGTCTTTTGAGCCCAAGCAGCTGTGGGACAGCTAGGGTGCAGGTCCGAGGGCTGGCAAGCTTGGCTCAGGCTTAGCTCACCCCTTCCAGGTGCAGACAGGTAACAGGGCTGGGGCAACTCACTTTCCAAAGACAGGGTTCAGCTGCTTGGAGATGTAGTTCTCCTTGTCTTTGATGTCCGTCTTCCCCAGCTTGATGGCAATATAGGGGTCGGCTTTCCCGTTGATGTCAGCTGGGTGAAGGTCCGTGGCCTGCAGAGAACGGATGAGATACATCAGTGCCATCCACAGTAGCGAGCAATTCAGGGATGGCCCCATTCTCCACCCCTGAGACCAGCTGGCGTTGCCTGGCCGTAGGCATGCGGCTACGCTCTTTGGGCCTCCTGAATAGAGTGGCTTGGTTTAAACTGGGGATAAGTCCTGCCTTGTGTTAATCCCTGTCCTGGTTTGGGGAGGGGTTGGGGCTGGCTGTGTCCCCTCAGAGAGACATAACCACAGCCTCCTTTAGCATCTCTTTCATCGGTGGAAAGAAACAGGCTCCTCTAAAGAAAGACCCAGAGCAACAACCCAACCAAGATGTCAAGATGACTTTCCCCTTCCCCTCTTGTTCTCTCCACTCACTACATTAGGGCCAAGGGCTTCTGGCTTCTCCCCACAAAGGGGGTGAGTATCCCCAAACTCTCCAGTCCCAACCTCCATCGTGGCACACGACAGCAGATGCCCATGACAGGACACATCCAGCCAGTCCTGGTGGTTGTTGGTGCTGATCAGGCTGGTGCCTACCATTGCAGCCTCAGTCCGTCGGTGATGGGTGCGAGACTCATTACCCCATTGGGCAATGGGATGCAGCACTAGATGGAGAGTTAGGCTAGCGGGAAATGTAGCCGGAATTAGGTTGGGTTAGTAACACCAGGACAAGGCGGTGACAAAGAGCAGCCCCGGTGCTTCTAGCAGGACTGAGATCCCTCTCAAGTGCCCGGCTTCAGTACCTCACTCACTTGCTTGGGGACACACAGGTGACTAGTTTAAGGGTCAGGAAAGGACTTTTTCCAGAGCACGCTCCATATAAAGAAACGTGCGTTAGCTCAGCGTGTGTTCAAGGAGGTGCCATGCCCTTCAACCAGGTCTACTAGACCCTGCCAGCTCCCATTCAGCTCTGCATGTGCTTCACTGAGGTGTCATGGCTATGTAAGGAACCGGCACCTCGCAGTCCAGGCTGATCCAAATGATTCAACTTGAGTTAAGCACTGGGACAGACACGCCGGTCCATCCTACATAGCAGAAGAAAGGTCTCTGGATCTGGCAGGAGCTTGGATCTGGCTTGCTCCCAGTGCTTGGAGCACACAGCTATGGAGACACCATTCGAGTCCCCATCAATGAGTTGCTTCAGTCCCCACGCTGCGTCCTTGGCCCTGATGCTCTGAGCGCTAAAAACCAACATCCCTACAGCTTTGGGACCAGCTCCTGGGTGTGCGCCGTGGAAGGGAGCGCAGGATCACGCCTTGCCACACCACACAGTTATACTCACCCGCACAATATAGACTCGGACCAGCACATTGATGGGGTCGTTGCTGGGGATCCCCTGGAACATGCCAAAGTTGGGGTCGTATCCTGCCTCCTTGGTGATATCATCAGGGAGCGGCACTTTGTAGACACACATGGAGCCCTGGTGCGAGGGAGTGCACAGCCCGATGAGAGTCCTGCTGCTCAGGGGCTCAGGGTAAGCAAACCCATCCCAAACCACCCTTCCTGAGGACCCAGTCAATATCCTTGTTTCTAGCCATGTGCTGGAGCAGACAGGCCAGATCTGGAAAATTCCTCCACCGTGCAAGCACCTCTTCAGGGGTTGCAACCATGAGCAGAGAAATTGGACAATGGGAAGGAGGCCTGCAGAGGAATCAAACTAGCAAGGTGCTCGTGGACAGGGATTTCCAAGAGTAAAACTGACAGGAGGACAAAAGCAATGGGAATAAAAGGGTTGACGAGGGATGGGCTGAAAAATCTGGGAATTACCACATGAAACACTGCTGATTTCTATGCTCCCTAAGCATCTGATCATAGCTGAAGTGGGGAACTGCCTGCTCATCTCCTCTGCTAAGCAAACGAAGGGCAAAACCGGCATCAACAGGCTTCATCTGACTAGGATCGCACCCTCAAAAAGGTTCTTGTCCAAGAATCATGTAGCTGACAGATGTGCTCCTACATTGCAGGGGTCCTGGCAATGGTGCAACATGGCCGTGAGCCCAGATGACTGGTATTGGTGAAAAATGGTTCAGAGAGAACTCAGGGCAAGACTTATTTCCACAGTGGCCAAGAAAGAGAACCTGCTTTTCCCTTGGACTTCTGTAAGAATCATCAAGGATCTGCTTGCTTGCAGTTCACCACTTCTGTGGATGCGCTCTTTGAAGCTATCTGATTTCTGGTGCTATCCTGGGAGGCTTTCTCTCCCTGCAAGGTGCCTGCAGCTGGGTCAATGCAAATTGGTTTCTACAGCATACAACTCCTTCCTGCTAAACCAGCTTCAGCAGAGAAACCTGTTGGCAAGGGTTCCCCAGGCTGCCCCTGCCCTGGCCCGACTCAGCAACCAAACTCACTTTGAACCTCCCCACTGTCCGCTCCTCTTCTGTTGCATTGTCGTCGTTGTCCCCAATCTTCCCACGGAGCAGGTTGAAGGTGTGCAGCCAGTCCTCAAAGTTATCAAACTCTGTTTCCAGCTCTTTGTTGAAGACCTGAGATGACAGAAAGTTAAAGGAGGGGAACTAGGTAAAAAGAAAAAAAGGTGAGGAAAAGATACGGTGACTACCCGCGTCAACTCAGAGGGAACATGGACACCTCAGCTCCCAATGCCCAATTCTCTAGGAAGGGAAAGGATCTCCAGGGTCATTGGGTCGGACCTTTATGCCACAAGCACCTCCCCGAACTGATAACGTACAAGAGGGAAGCTCAGCTGAATGGGCGAGGTGGCTGTCCCCCCTCTGTGCAAGACCCAGGTTCGAACCCCTTCTGCACCCCAGAATCAAGACTACATTAATCCTAATAAACACCACGGGCCAGTACATTGAACCAGAGCCCATCCCTGCCCTGAGTCCCGGCTGGGCCAGCCATAACCAGGCTGGAAAACTCTCCCCTCCAGCCAGGGCACATCCAAGCTGCCCCAAGGATGATCCTATCCCAGGGCAACTCCTTTTCTGTAAAGCTTGTTACCTCTGACTCCTTCAAGCTATGGAGAGAAGCTGGCGGTCCCAAGGCACATCTCGCCTAGGGTTAGATACCCCTCAGATAGGCGAGGTGCCTCATGCAGGGTTGACCCATCCTGCTCTGATCTCCAGGTGGCTGGGACTGCCATCCTGCCAGACTTCCATCCTGCCACCAAGCAGGCAGGGCCTTCTCCTCCCTGGCCGACACACGCACCTTCAGTTCGTCAATCTTCTGCTTGTTCTTCTTCTCGGGAAGCTCAGGGGCTGACTGTTGCTTCTTCTTCTTATCGTCTTTGGGTGCCTTGGACTTCTCCTTGTTCTTCGCCTGACCTTTGGAGCCTTTCATGGGAGAGTCATCAAGTTTGATTTCTGAGTCCGAGGGGAAGTGGCGAGGAGGGAGGAGATGGAAATGAGGGTGAGGAGGGGTGGAGGAGACAGGGAGGGGGGACTTGATCAAAGTCCTTCAAAGAGGAGGAGCATGAAAGCTGACAGCTGCTACTGCCTGCAACTCCCATTCCAGCCCTCTCCTGTCTTTCCTTGACTCTGGCCACTGCTGCCCAGGTCACAGCATCTCCAGGAGCCCAGAGGTCTCTGTGCAGTGAACTTCCAGAGCTGACCTGAGCAGAAGTCATTTGGAGGACTACAAAACATGGACAGAGTGCTAGGCTCTGGCTAGCTTCAACAGCAGTGAGAAGACCTGATCCTGCCCACAGCATCTCTTTTTCTTCCTTCTACTGGAGGCTTTTCCTGCTGTATGCAGCCTGGAGAATAAAACCCCAGCCTAGGTATCGCAGAGGGGACAGTGCTTGATGCTCAGCACCAGAGCACAGGCCGCTGCCCTTAAAGAGGTGTTGCCCATGACCAGCTGCAAGGACAGGTTGTTAGGGTCTCTGTTCAGAGCAACCACCAGCCAGGGACATCAACTACACTGGGAACAGGCTGTCTGGAAAGGCACGTTCAAAGAAAACTTCTCCCACCCCTCTACCATCCCCGTTCCTCGCTGCCTCTGCCAGTTTTCATGACTGCTGGGCAATGCAGATGGGGACAGACGGATGACAACAGGGAAAGACGTAATGTGGAAGAGGAAAGGAGGAAGGAATGGGAGAGCCAAGGGGAAATGGACCCTTCTCAGAAGACAAAAAGAAAACAATGGGGGACACAAGACACCCCCCCAGCAGCCCTGCCACGACAGCAAGCCCAGGAAGAAGCTGCTCAGAGTTGTCTCCAAGCTCAGCAAGACCCGGCCTCTCCTGCTGTATGCAGCCTGGAGAATAAAACCCCAGCCTAGGTATCGCAGAGGGGACAGTGCTTGATGCTCAGCACCAGAGCACAGGCCGCTGCCCTTAAAGAGGTGTTGCCCATGACCAGCTGCAAGGACAGGTTGTTAGGGTCTCTGTTCAGAGCAACCACCAGCCAGGGACATCAACTACACTGGGAACAGGCTGTCTGGAAAGGCACGTTCAAAGAAAACTTCTCCCCACCCCTCTACCATCCCCGTTCCTCGCTGCCTCTGCCAGTTTTCATGACTGCTGGGCAATGCAGATGGGGACAGACGGATGACAACAGGGAAAGACGTAATGTGGAAGAGGAAAGGAGGAAGGAATGGGAGAGCCAAGGGGAAATGGACCCTTCTCAGAAGACAAAAAGAAAACAATGGGGGACACAAGACACCCCCCCAGCAGCCCTGCCACGACAGCAAGCCCAGGAAGAAGCTGCTCAGAGTTGTCTCCAAGCTCAGCAAGACCCGGCCTCATCTTTCTCGTCATACGAAGACTAGTCTTCCAAAAGAAACCAGGCTCCGTATTTTTCTCAGCTGATGGATTTTGCATTGCCCGGGCATGACAGCAACCCGCTGTCATGGGGACGCGGGACATATGGAGAGCATGGGTGAAAGTCCTCAGGGAAATCCCTCCAAGCCCTGCTGGTGGGACTGGCAAGGAGGCCCCAGGCTGCAAATGGACAAAGTCACCCTTGACCAACACGTCCCAACTCACCAGTGTTTTTGGCCCACATCACTTGCGGTACAAAATTCATCTCACCTAACTTTAGACATCAGCAACACCCCATCTGAGCTACAGACCCCCTGACTTCCTTCAGGGGAAAATGCATTTAGGGTACAATTCATCTTATCGTAACATGGTATTGAAAATAGGTCAGAGAATTTGCCCTAAAAGTGCGTATTTTTCTTCACTGCCTGTGCTAGAACAGCAGACAAGGAGGCCTCTACATGCCGGTAAAAGCACTCAGATTAGATGAATCCCAGACCTTTTGTCTGGTTGAATCTTCCCTTGTAAAACTGGAGCAAAATTAAAAAAAAATTAAGCCTCCTGCAAAATGAGAATGGAAAACCCCATGAAGGTGATCGAGAAGCATCTATTACTCGGCGTGCTCAACAGACTTCAAGCACACAGTCCTATAGCTAACACATCGGCACGGCCAAAGTGACGGGACTTTTAATGACATATTAACTTGTCATTGCACAAAAACGTCCTGGGACAATAACGGGGATCCTGGTCACTAGTCTGCATTACGTGCACGTGGCCTTCCTCCCAGCACGGATGGGGTGGAGGCTGCCACAATGCCACGCTCTGATTTGGATTCACCTGGCGTTAGCATGTTAGCCCAAACGCAGCCCACACCAGGCCTGCATTCACAAAAATTGATCCTCCGTGGGGATATACAGCGTGGCAGAAGAGCAACAGCATGCTCCAAAAGCACGTTCAAGCACCAGAAGGAGTCCTGGTCCTACCTTTCCCTGCCGCGCTCCCTCCCTCGTTCACAACCTGCTTACCCTCTGCAGTCTCCATTTCTTCCTTCTCCTCCGCTTCTGCTGCGGCTGCTTCCTGCTGCCGGAGTTGCTGGGGGAGAAATGAAGCGAACAGGGGGTGGGTGCTTGTGCCGAGGTCTCTGTGCTCACTGGAAGTGCCTGACTCAGGGTCACAGCTCGCTCTGCCCGTCTGAGCTGTGAGCGAGATTCTGGCACTGCTGGAGAAATCAAAGTTGCTCGGTGCAGCCTTGAGCACTGGTGCGGTTAAATACCTGTGTCTGAATACAAGCCAGTCCACCCCGAGCGCACTCAGGGAAGAGGAATCCTGCTCAGCTCTGCCAGGTAGAAAAAAGCCTTGCCGACAGCTGGGCAAGGTTAGCGAGGAAAGCAGCGCAGCCCCAAGCCCTTGGAAGTAGCTGGAAACAGGTGAGACCTTGCAGGCTGGAAACTTTTACCTCTTCCCCCCCTACATACACCCCTCCTCCGCTCTGCACCCACCTCCTTCATAGTCTCAATTGAAGCAAAATACTTGGACCACCAGTCCAGCATGCTCTCGTCCGGCTCCTCCTCTTCTACTTCTTCTCCTCCTCCTCCTTTCTTCTTCTTTTTCTTTTTCTCCTTCTCTTCCTCAGACTGCAGGGACAAGGGAAGCAAAGACAGAGAAGAAGAGGGATCAGATGAAAGTGACATAACTCTTGAAGTGCAAAGGTGGTGGGTGAAGCCCCTGAGAAGGCAGAACCCTCCTGGCTGGGTGGCCTCATTAGCACTTTCCCCCATTTACAGCCGCAGACACTGAGGCGCAGAGCAGCAAAGCAAGATGCCCAAGGCTCCAGAGAGACACAGCGTCAGAGTCCCGAGACATTCCCCTCCCGTCCGTCATCCCTTTCATCCATGTATTTCCCACATGGAAATACAGGTGCTGCAGCACCTGAATCTTACACGGTAACAATCTTCCCTCTGCCCGGCAAAGTACCCTGGGTCCACTTAGTGGTGCAATAAAGCCTTTTGCAGCTGGTGTCTGGTTGTGGTGGGAATAACCAGCATCTCTCCCGCAGGGCGCTGCCTGCCCTGCTCCTCCTGGCACAGCTGGGCTGAGAAGCGCTGGCCCAGAAGAGCTTCCCAAGCTGCAGGGACTAGGCCACTGCCTTATCTGTTGATGAGACAATGCTGCTCTGTCTCTGCCTTGGGATGAAGGGGCTGCTGGTCCCCGCCTATAGAATCATAGAATCATAAAGGTTGGAAAAGACCTCTAAGATCATCGAGTCCAACCATCGACCCAACACCCCCATGCCCACTAAACCATGTCCCTAAGCGCCTCATCTACACGTCTTTTAAATACTTCCAGGGATGGTGACTCCACCACTTCCCTGGGCAGCCTGTTCCAATGTTTAACCACTCTTTCAGTAAAGAAATTTTTCCTCACATCCAATCTAAACCTCCCCTGGCGCAACTTGAGGCCGTTTCCTCTCGTCCTATCGCTTGTTCCTTGGGAGAAGAGACCGACCCCCACCTCGCTACAGCCTCCTTTCAGGTAGTTGTAGAGAGCGACGAGGTCTCCCCTCAGCCTCCTTTTCTCCAGGCTGAACAACCCCAGTTCCCTAGTTCCTATCTTGGGGTTGGTGAGGATGCATGGTCCTCGTTGAAAGGTGCACAGAAGGGTAGGATGGGGTGTGGAGGGTTGGGAGCAGGGACGCAGAGCAGATCCATCACTTACCACGTCCACCTTCACCACCGCATCGGAGTTCTGCCGCCCGGGGTGGAAGGGAACAGGGAGAGGGAGAGCAGGTTAGCAGCGCAGCCTCAGCCGAGTACAAATACACGCCAGCACACGCATGCATTAGAAGTGACAGACAGCTCCCCAGGGATGAAGGAACCGAACGCCTTGAATGAAGAGCCCTGGCTGGGAAAGCTCTGCGTACAGGGGAGATGTCTGCTGTGACCCACGCACCAAATCCATCTCCGCGTGGCAGATGTCTCTCTTGCGCTCTGCTAAGGGAGAACCACAGTCCCTGACAGCGAGGGATTGGGCCTGAAAAGACACTTTGGCCTTCAGCGTGGATAACACCTCTCTGCTCTCTTGGAGTTTTTCTTGTCGATCTAGGAAGGTCTGCAAGCTACTGTGGTAGATTTCAAGAAGCATGTGGGTGCTGGGGCGTTCCAGACATACCCATGCATAGATATCCAGTAGCTCCTGTTGCATGAAGCTGTGTGAGCAGACATACATGAGACAGCTTCTTGTGCACATACGAGGAACTCTACGTGTAAGTGCCTACGTAAATGCACCAGGGACCTTGTGGGGTGTATGTATGTGTACGTATCTGCACGTGTGTGCTTGTGAGGCTTTGTATGTGCCATAGCCTTTCTGTAAATGCGCACGTGAGGGGCCATGCCTATTTGGAGCCCACAACATGTATGCACATGTGCTGCTTGTCTGGGGGGTTGCATGTGCATGTTGCTGCAAAGAGCCTCCTGCAAAAAGCAATCTGTTCCTTTTTGTGGAGGAAGCTCTGGAACGAGTACCAGAAGGAGTTGAAATTCCTGTTCTGCACAAGAAAATGGGCGCAGGCACATTCAGTGTGTGAACAAAGCCTGATGCCTCTGGGACACATTGCCTGTCCAATGCATACGGTGCCCAATTTTCAGGGCAAGCACAACAGGTCTAAAGAGCTTTGGCTGCCTCAGACTGACTCTGTGTGGCTGGATCAGCTCTATGCCACGAGCATCTGCTGTGTCCTGTACAGCTCAGACTTGGTGTACAGTGGTTGTGCAGCGACACCTCGCTGACCACCCATCCGGACTGCTGAACGGGCATTTCAGAGAGCTGACGTAGCCATCTGAACGTCTCAAAACTATTGTAAAAAGGAAAAAGGTATTAGGGAAATCTGCGTGACTCTGGCTGCTTGCAGAGGCTGTGCAGCGTGCAGTGCTTTGAAAGGGCAGGATCGCTGCAGCTGTGCAGATGGGGAATTTCTGATGGGTCACTTGTGTCTGCGTTGGTCACAGACAGGGACAGGGTTGTGCTTGTGGGTGCTCATTCCCATCTGACTGTTTTTGAAGGAAAACATAAAGCCGTCTAATTTGTATAGCCCAGGACCGTCCTTTTCTGGGCAGCAAGCACCAGCTAATTTCAGAGAGGACAGAAGGAGGCCAATTTGTAGGACTGACGATTACCCAAGGCCCTTCAT